CGCCGATTTCTGTCTGCCTTGTTGAAAAGCGAGATCAAGGAGTGTTCCTTTGTGTTGCCATGGAAGTACTTCAGAAAATACAGAACGACTTCATGCAGAAGGTTCTTAGTATTGGCGCTACAGGGAAATCGTCTGCTTTGATCTTTCTAGAGCGAGACGAGGGAAAGTGTTCCATTCCAATGGTCCACGTCCAAGAGGCTCGTGAGAAAGAAATAATTCAATACCAGTGGTCGGATGCCATTTTAAGGAACTCTCAGCGTAACACTGAGTATGGCCATGGAAAAGAAGTGTTTTATGATCTTGCAAAGATTGAAAAAGAAATGGCAGCCCGCTTCCTTGTAGGAAAAGCTTTCCTTTCGACTTTCGACGGATTGCGCGAGTTTATCTTCTCTCGAGAGCTTTTTCACACATGCCGAGGTATCCTGGATGAATTACAAAAGCTTATTCCTCAACAGCCATTGACAGAAATTTTGCGGAGTGGTTTGGTACGCCAGAGCGAGGACAGCCTTGAGAGCGTCCAGGAATTGTTAGAACATATGGAAATTGTCCTATGCCTGTTAAAGAGACATCAACATGGAAAACCTGAGGAACCTTTAACAGAATTTACAGACAAGTGGCTGGGCGGGTCGAGACCATTTCCAAAGCAGTTACTCCCACAGCCCCATAGTGCAATCCAACTTATGCACGTGGTCGCCCTTTACGAGTTTCTTGAAGACACACTGGCTGAATCCGCTGCCAAGCGCGTGAATGATACTTATCGTGCTTCTATACCCAAAGAGATCACAGATGATTTGGCCAAAGCAGCCTTTTTCTCTGGTAAGAGTGAGGCGGATCGTTCTACGCTACGTGCCATCACCATAGCACTCCGACGCTTCATTTTCCGCTATCTTTCATCCGAAGAAATGAGACCCGAGCCCGGAGAGGTTCTAGCCGAGCGTATGCGAGAGTCTTCTCTTTGGCCTATGGACTTAAACAAGTCGGGGAAATCGCTAGGCATTGAATCTCCAGAAAATGTCCTTCACCTTGTGTTTCCAGAGAGTCTGACCATCGGACAAACGTACCAAGTCCTTTGCTTTTACCAGGACCGTCTTAAAGTGAGTAAAAGTGATTTCTATAATTCCAGTGTTTTTTTTTTTACTTTTTGTCACTTTGTAACCAAAATTACAACTGCCTTCATTGTACAACAGACGTGATTTTGCTTAGAGACTTACCCTGGTTATGTGAAAAGAACTCAATACCTGAGGAAACAGGAACATTTTGTGCAGGGGCCTTCTAAAAAAACCTTTCTTTTCAGCTATCTTTTGAGCCAAATGTCATCAGGCGTGGATGGTCTTTAAAAAATGAAAACGTGCTCAAAAACAATTCCATGGTTTCTGGATCATACCCCTCCGCTAGCTTCAATCTTGCTAAAAAGTATAGGAATTTTTGGGAAGATGATGTGTTTTATACTAGAAAGAAGGTGGCAAAAACGTTTTCTTCGAACGCCGTCATTTTAAATCCTACCAAGCAATCTAGCTATATTCCTTCGAAATAAAGGCTCTCTCCTCTTTATTCTATATCACTTCGCGGCCTGTTTTAAAAGAAAGGCGCTACAAAATATGCCCCTCTTACCTTATGTAATGATGTTTTTAAGCAACTAGATATAGCAGAAGATATTATGGATCGTGCTTTGTAATTCATACTTCTTCCAGTAAGTTGCATAGCGTTGGAGATACCTCAGCATAATTTTATGAAAAATTTTATTTGATATCACAGCTATTTGGAAGTTTTGTTTTTTCGACATTAATACTTTTCTTTTTTATTATTATTACTTTGCAGTCTCTTGAAGAAGTGAAGGTGGTCTCTCGTAGCCCAGCACCCAAAGGAGGCAGGCTCAGCAATGTACAAAGATTCCGTCAGGTGAAGAAAGGCCGAGCACGGTTCGGCTACTCATGAAAGAAATGCACCACGCTTATCTGTATTGTGATGCGACAGCGGTGGACCGTGAAAATTTTTACAAATGGAGTATCTCCGCTTAATCGGACACTTTCCTTAATATATTGAAGTAGCCCTATGTTAGCACATCGATAGCGTCAACCAGTTGTTCTTGACTGAATAGGCGGTCGAAAGATCCCCATGTTTATACATAACATTCTTGAAAGCTAGGATTTCTTAGATCGTATATACATCTGATTTTTTACAAGTCTCAATTTTTATAACAATTTAACCAAGTAACGTTAGTGAAAAAGGATATCGTAGACCACAACCACTCGGCTAAGTGAGTGGCGATTGTTTTGTATTTGAGTGCAACTAAACAATTAGTCCAGTCTTTTGAGATTCAACTGGTTTATTTGTAGGCGAAAATAGCTAGATTCAACGAAGGTTTTGTTTTGCATTTGAAAATCTAGAGCTTGAACAATTGTTTTGTTGATGTGAACGATGACGGAATGTGAAAAATTTGTAGAGTTTTTCTAGCTGCGATTAAGACCATGACATTTACGTCACGCATCACGACATGCAAAGGTAGTAGGTTGTAACGTTCACGTAGATAGTTTGGCTTAGTTAGTTAAGACAAAGGTTAGAAAAAAGCCGCCATTCTTTTTCTTGAGATAAATCTAGTTGTTTTGTTTTGACGTGTATGCTAGCTTTATGATATCTTTCCTAAGACACAGATAAGGTTTGTCTTTGGAGGAATCAGTTGTAGTTGATTTTATGGTCAAGTATACTCAATATAGTGATGTATAACAGATACCAATTGTCCTTAATTTCGTCTTACAACAAAGGATTCTTGTTACCTAATGAAAAAGGGCGTAGTTCTAAAACTGTTGTTTGTTTGGAGTAGATAAAAAGACCGGATAAAGCATTTAGCAGTATGAGTAATAGTGTCATGGCTGTAGTTAGAGTATGTTAGTTACGTTGGCCGATTGAGATGAAGGCTAGCCATTCTTATATTCAAAACTGATAAGTCTGGTTGTTTTGTACTTTTTAAAAGGTGGATAACGTTTCCGCCATCACTATATCCTTCAAATACATATGTTATGATTTACTTTAGATAGAGTGTTGTTCTTGCTCAAATTGTGAACCTTTTTTAAATTTCTATTTACGATTGAAAATGATAGTTTAAAGGAGAACGTTCTTGTAGAACGTTGCTTGTTTGGAATAGATAAGCCCGGATAAGCCATTATGCCGCAAGAGCTGTCGATAGAAGGGAAGATAAGTCCGTAAAGATGTTCATACTTTTTCCTTATCTCAAGCACGGACACGATGTTTAGCTCCATATGTTACTGGATCTAGCCTTTTGAACTGTTTCAATAACAGAATAAACCCTTCTTAGTTCACAACATGTAGAAAAGAGATCATGACAAGAATTTGAGAAGAATTGCCGGTTTCCCTGAAGTCGAAATCTGCCGTTCAAAAAACTACGCCCATTTGTAAATTGTGTATCGGACATTCCTATCTGATCATGACCTCAGCGGGTGGAAGCAAGGCTACTTGTCGCTGTCTCTCAAATCAAGTTGTAACGAGAGAACATGAATTGTGTAACTTCTCTGATCACTTGATGGACTTATCGTCTCGAGGAGAAGTAGAAAGCTCCGAATAAAAGAGGACTCGAAAGGATTTAGTCTCCTGCAGCATTTGAAAACTTTGCTTCTGTCTGAAGAAAGTTTAAACCAGCATTTAGTGTTGTAGAAGGGAAAAAACAAATAAATAAAACATACGAATAAGTAAACTTCTGCAATGATTTAAATCTTGCTTGCCTTCTTTTATAGAAGGACAAGAAACATGATTCATTACAACTTTATGCTTTCAACCCGTAAACCTATATAAGCCAATGCTGTCTAGACAGAGCTTAGAAGCAGAGAGGGCACTGGCGATCTATTATATTGAACAGATCTCACCATCGCCAATGTCTACCAAGCCAAGTGTTTGTAACACAAAAGGAAGCAGGCTGAGCAGTCAAAATGAATTTATGCGAGAGCGTCACGAGGATAACTGGGTCATTGCCCAAACTCCAAAGGATGTTAGTTTGCCAAGGTCAATGAGGGCGTCTGGGAAAGGTTCACCAATATTGTAAACTATTTTTTCGCATCCTTAATGACTGGGTGCAGTTTGTAATTGTTTCTGTGGTTTCTCACAAATTGACAATGTGCAAAACAGAGGACGGTAGTTTTCAAAGAACTTGTCCCGGCTCCCGTCGTCTCTTTGCCAACGAAGGGTTTTGTTTCACCTCCAGATAACCCCCTGAGAATTGCGTATTAATTAGACTGCGTATTTAGCTGGTTTCCCAGAGCACAATGATCGATCGAAAGCCAAGAATGGAAAGATAAATCTTGGCCAAGTGCCGCTATATGCGGGCAGACATTCAACAACCACAGAGACTCAACCACAATCATTTGTTAGTCTTTTTATTTCTAATGGGGTATTTCCGAGGTTTACTACGAGTGTTGGATAAATTATTCCTTTGTTACGTCGGTTAAAAATTTTAAAATCCGGCTTTGTCGTCTTCGTTTTCTTAAAACCTGTCACAAACAATGGTTTACTACTTCTTATGATGACGCACAATCACTCTATAGAATGAATTCCTAGGAGAGAATAAACGATTGTGCATCGGGTATTGAAATTTGAACAGTCATAGTCACGAAACAGAAGTGAAGATAATTCAGGTAAAATATATATCTAATTTACCTAAGTCTAATTTACTCTCACGTCTGTGTTATGCATCAGCTCCCGCTTAATCTATTGCCAGTTTGTGTCTAATTTCCGGTCTTGAAAAAAGTTAAAAAACGTCTCTCCTATAAAACTTTATTGGTAATTTTTCTCGGAATTCGTGTCATCCTCTTTCATCTTTCTAACCACATATTGTTAATAAACAATAGTTCATATGTTGCCAGTTGCCTTTCTTCTCTAAATGGAAGTGGTTGTAAAAAATCGTTTGGCACTAAAGTAAACCACGTGACGTCTGACCAATCAAATGACAGGGATTGAAAGATATTGGAGCTTCACTACAATTTACCCCCACGGATCTCCGACGGATTAATTTTCACGAGTACGACGACGCTTGAGCGTTAGCATGTTGGCACCCGATTATGACTGACCTTTGAGACGGAGAAGTACTACACAATTTCCTTTTTCCTTGCTTTATTTGTAGGTTATTTATTCACGGCGAAAGACGCCTTCGTTTTCGAAATATTAGTTTGTACATATCATCAATAATTCCGTTGCAATCATTGCTTGGATTACGACACTACTGAGAGGGAAATTTTGGAAAGGAACAATATGGGACGTGAAAATCGTCTTGTTCTGGTGTTACTTCACGTTTTTATTGAGCTGGGTGTACTTGTGAGTGGAGCCATCGTGTACCCATCGTTGCATTGGAGTTTTCAAAACCCCCTGTAAGTACTGGTAATAATTGAAGTACATGTTCATTGTTGTATGTATTTACTAGTAGTAAAACCACACTAATTTTAATACTACAACTGAAACAGCCGCCTTCTTTAGAGAAGTCAGCCTAGGATAGGACCACAGTAAAGCGACAGCGGAATGATTGGTAAAGTTTCCGCACAGCCCCATACTACATTATGCATTCAGTTCTTGGATAAAGAAAACAATGACAAAAACAATACATTGCCATTAGGAAAACAGATCTGTTTTACAATAGTATGGGGCTGTGCGGAAATTTTACCAAATAGGCAAACTTTAAGATTTCCTGCCAAGTTTAACTACTAAATTCCCTTTTGCTTGAAGGAATAGTATTTTATATGAGATCCGACGGATTTTTTTGTTGATTAACTGAGAACGTGAAGTGATCGCTGGTGAAACTTATGCACTGAAGTAGACGGTGTTTAGTCGCACGGTCCTTGTTTTTAACTCTGTTTTTATCGCACAACTTCAGAGCGAAGGAGAATTAACTTTAATTCTATGGAAAGGCTTCTTGTAATGCATTTGGAATGAAAGCTAACATCCTCAAATCAAGGGTCATCTTCAAGGAAAAAGTGTATTTGCTTAAGCTAAAAGCCAGTCGTGTCTTTTCTATAAGCAGAAATGACAACAAGTCCAAACTACCGCATGATCTTGGCTTATAGCCATATAAATAGGCAGGGTTTCAGACCTTTCAATATTATTTTTGCTGTCGTATTACGTTGCATGGGGCAGTTTCGTGTCTGCTGTCAGAACTTCCTTCTTCCCTAGCCTTTAGCACTTATCCTTAATGCGCTCTATTTTTGGGGATAAAAATTTGAATAATCTTTTTCCTTTATGGATCATTTGTTTACCCCTGAAAAAAGCTTTATTTTGACAGTGTTTGAATCAACCGAGTTCAGATATCTATCAACCACATCCAATTTAACTTAAAAGTTTCTCCAGTTATGAATCAAGTAGCACTGCGAACTAAACTTCTCCAGTACAAAACAAAATTGAGAAAAGATAGTTGGCTTTTGAAAACTAGCGAACAGCTTGTGCGTCATGCATCTACAAATAGCTATGTTATTTTTACAAAGATATAACCCAACTCTTCCAACTCCTCTAGTTTTGAATGCAAGCATGTGTTTAGATGTATGATGAATACAGACATGTGCATCACAGACTGACAGGTGTTTCAGTTTGGAAGTCACTTTCATTTATCAAAAAATAAAGTTTCTTGTTCCTACATGCCCCTAGGACATGCTTGTGGCTGACAGAAGTGCTAGGAGCAACTTTCAAGAACATTTTGTAGCTTTTCTTTGTCATCGATCACAGTACACTCTGTAGAGAACATGGAAGAGTGCTTTGTATTTGGATGTTGTAGACCTCAAATAGCAAATCAAAAGTTTCAATATATGCAATACATTAGGAACATGAATGGATATATACAAAAGTCCTCATTTTACTTACATGTGTAAACCTGTATCTACAATAGTAATGCTTTATTAGGCACTGATTAGAAATGCTTTCCTAACTACAAAATTGAAAGGGAAAGTTGAAAGACTTGTAATAAAAAATTCTTGTACTCTGTTTTTCATGACATCATACAATATTTGGAGTAAGCCAACTTCCAACTTTGAGGTTGTTTGAAGGATTTTATTTAGGACTTCATGATCATTGACTGAAACTAGAAACAATGCACTTATTATAATAGAAATATCATTTTATTTTTAAACGAAACAGTTATAGCTGCAGTGCTTTTGTTAGCCAGCTAATTCCATGTGGTTATACATTTTCTTAAAATTGTTTATCTTTTGTTTCTTAACAGCAGTGGGAAGTAGATATATTTGTAACAGACAACTGTCTCTACCATACAATTTCATCTCAATATTTTATAGACAATTAAAACTCCATTATTAGTACAAAAGATCTTTGTGTCCTTTCTATTTATTCTTGATGATGATGAATACAGACTTCAAACATTAGCGGCATATGTAAAGTTGTTGCCTATTGAAGTATTCTTAAAAGTGATACATCATTTTTAATGGGGGCTCCTTTATCATAGTTGTGTTATTTACTAATAGTTATAAATGTTGTAGAACTTTCTACTCTTGATTTTGTTGAGGTTGGGAACATGAACAGTGATAAATTTAGAGTGAGTTTAATGACTAAAACTTAATGAAATATTCTAATGTATAAGCAAAACAATGCTGTTTATTTGCTAAGCTGACAAAATTATCTTCAGAGTGGTGCCAAGTATTCAGTCTTGGAATTTTATCATTGGATGTATCTGATTTTTTGAAATGATTATTAACTGTCCCAGATATATGTCATGGCTGTTTATTGTTTCTCAAACTTTACCTTGTTTTCACTCTGACAATCAAAATTTGAAGCAAAGGAAACTGAAAATTTCAATGATCTGACAATCTGAAACATCAAGAAGAGAAACTGAACAACAATATCTACAATGCGGCCACTGGACCAGATCCAATTTACACAACAAGATCCAAAATACAATTAGTGTAAAAAGGTTTCAAAATTCAGTGACTTTCCTTTCTTAGTTGTGGCCAAGTTACATATAAGTGACAAACTCTAATGATTAGTCAATTACATGGATTCAGTGCAACACCATCCCAGGTGTAGTCAACCCATGTTTTTTCCCCAAGTTGAACAACAGATTGACAGAAACATTGCATAATGATATTAAAGATAAGTTAGAGGTATTATACTCAGCACTAATCAGGTGTGAATCCCATTAATGGGACTGATAAGTGGAAAACACACAGGAACTGGCCTCTTTTATCTTTGGAACCAGGGCTTAAACTGTTCCTGTGTGGTTGAATCAATAAAACAACTGTGGATAAAGATTGCATTTAAGCATCTTAAGTCACGTAGTTCAAGGTTAAGCTGGTTTAGAACTTTTTTATCAGTTGGTGTTTTGATCAAGATATGAATTCACAGACTCATGAAATCTTTATTGTTTATTGTTATGATCATGGCAGAATAATTGATTCTTATCTTTCAGCAAGAGGCAAGAGGCAGAGGTGATTGAATATTCTTTGCAAAGTTAATAAAAGTAAGAGCATAGGTTAAAATTGGCTTGGCAGGTTTTAAATTAAATCACGTTTTGCATTTCTGCCTAACATCTAAAAACAGTAATTTAGTAGTTGATGTTGTCAAAAATGGAGTTGACACAGTGTACCCATTACGTGGTACTTATTAATTATCTTCACATCCTGCAAAATGTTTGCCAAAGGGCACTTTTGTGTTTTGATTTCCCAATGCTCTTAATTGAGAAAGATCTTGGTTCTTAGTTCTAAGATATGTGGTGTACAGGAACCTTATGGCTGCACTGAGAAATCTGTTCATCATGCAAAAAACTTACAGGTACTTGCTTTGAGTGGATTCAAACTTGCAAGTTGCTGAGTTGTGACTTGAGAAATTGTATCTATATCTTTTGTTTCTGCTTGTGGATGACCATTAAAATTATGATCACAATAAAGACATCATGTAAAAAACAACAAGGTTGGTTCTGAACCTTGGAGTTTGCCTGTTAGTGCACTGTAATTGGAAAACCACATACCCTAAAGTATAATGTTAGCTTATTGTTTATCAGAAAAAAAGACATCAAATACAAGTAATAGGTATTCTAGAGTCAGTTCACTTCTTTCCCTGCCCTTCTGATATAACTTGCCCTTTCCTCTTTCTGTTTTTATTCTGTCTGTCACTGTTTATTTTATAAGAAACCTCTAATATGAGCTTTCACCAGGCCTTGTGGCTCTCCCCAAGATTCCATGACTCAGGATGTTCATCAAAGATTCTTTGAATCTTGGCAAAGAATGACAGGCTCTTCTTAAAATGTCTCAGCTCTCCAAAGAGGATTGTTTAGACAGGGCCTATCTATCTAAGTCCATTGCTCCTCTTAGGACATAGGGCTTCAACAACAGTCCACCAGAGACATATCTCTGTTCTGGACCATCCTTTTTCACTGGCTCCATGAGTGGTTGATCTTTGTGATGTCAACCTGGAGGTCATGAAGCCAGGTATTCCTTGGTCACCCTCTCTTTCTCTTGCCTTGGGGATTCCAGCCGAGGGCCTGTCTTCTGATATTTGTTGGTTGACAAAGGGTGTACCCTATCCATTTCCATCTTTACCTTTTGATTTCATCTTCTGCTGGTTGTTGGTTGGTCTCCCTCTGGAATTCTGTTGTACTGATGATGTCTGGCCAGCAGATCCCTAGAATTATTCTCAGGTCTTTAACAAGTTGCTTATTAGACAATTGTGCATAATGAGGCTGCTCCATTGTAATTTGTTTCTGACTGGAATGATCTCTCTCTGTGGTCTTAGCACGATTCAATGTCCTTTTAAAAGGTTAACATTATAAAAGTAACTGAATGTAATGGGTTGTTGGAAGCTTCACATTGACTCAGTCCACTACACGAGAAAACATCACGTATGATCATTAGCATAATGCTACTTCAAGCTGTTGAAAAAGATTTGGAATTGTCATAGCTTTTCACATTGGTAGGTTACTTTTTCCTTACACACCCTTGCATTCTTTTTTGTGTTATTCATGCCAAGACTGTGTGATAGGTTTAACCACTGTAGCTGTTTACTCCTTACACCCTAACATCAGTTTACACATTCTCCTTACTGTTCTCTAAACATTTTCTAAGATGCTGACAAGGAGAATTGGTTTAACAATCAAGGGCCTCTTTAGTTGATGATCATTTCCTTTATTCTCAAGACCTTGAAGTCAGATTCAGAGGTGATATTGTAAGGAGAAATAGGATGCTTGTCACTCTCAGGGGCTTAGGGGTTGTGGCACAATTATTGCAACCTTAAAAACAAAGCATCATAAATTTTACAAATTTAAACATTTTGAAAATGAGTTACAAAAGTGTAGCAGCCTGAGGATAGCAGTGATTGCTTAAGCTATGGCAAAGGTTTACTGTGCAGCAAGAAAGGACTGAACACTGTGAGGACCTTGAACAGTTGTCAGGCACCTGTTACTCACTTAGGATTTAATTGTTATTTTAATAGTTTTGCCAGTTATATGCATCTTAATGATTTTTCTTCTTTATTTTTCAGATTTAAAAAAGGACATTATCGCTTAAATGTCCTTCCAGGATCTAAGCTCAACATAATATGTCCACATGTAGCAGTATCTCTAGTGAAGAGACAGGATACTGATACTGGTTTTAACTGCGAAAATTTTTGGCGAGTAGATTTTAACAGTTATCAGACTTGCAATGTGAGCGAAAACAGCATACCACAGAACAAGATATTCTTATCATGTGATGATCCACGTCAGATGCAGTTTGAGACACTTGTGTTTCAGCCTTTTAACGCTGACCCGTCTCGAGTATTCAAGAAAGGAAAGGTCTATTATTTCATTTGTAAGTGTGTTTTGTGTCTTATAATATTTCAGCAAACATAACACATGGTCTCAGCTTTGTCAATTCTATGATTTTTTTTTTCTTTTTAAAAAAAACTTCTATCTTTCACCTAATTAATAATCATCCATCTTTCTCTCCTGTATGGCAAAAGATCAAGGCCTTTGAAGGTAGATCAGAGAGTCCAGCTTTCATAAGGCTGGAAATCCGTTATTATAATTGCCTTTCAAGAGAATAATATAAGATGCAATGCAATCAATGGTTCTTATTCCCTTCAAACTTATCTTTTAGTAGTGGTCAACTATATGTATGAAAATTAAATAACAGACTAAGAAACTTGGAAAGCAAGCAGGACTTGCTGTACTTCCATTAAATATAATAGCATCTCTCACCAGCATTTGGAAGTTAAGAAGATTGTTACCTCCTCTAAGAGGATGTTCTTCATGATACACACCTGATGTTTTTCTTTTCTGTTGTTTAATTCAAGGTCAGTAGACCGTTTCCTTATCCCTAATTGCCTTAAGCTCTGATTTATTCACTTTGATGAAGAGCTATCACTCAAAATGTAAGCTTTGAAACTCAATGGTGGACAATTTACATGATCAACTTAGTTGATATATACTAAATTACTTTGTTATACTCTCCCACTGACACAGCGCTACAGTTTCTTCAGAGAAGTACTGCCCTAATTGTATTACTTTGTTTACTGAGTGAAGAAAAACCAATCAAGATTCCTGTTTTTCACAACAGGAATGTTCATGTAGCCTAGCTCTTTGGAATTTGAATTTAAAAGCACTATCTTCATTTCTTGCTTCTGATGTTTTTATTTTTATTTTCTTGTATTACACCTGCAGCTACCTCAACTGGATCCTATGATTCATTGAAGGGAAGAAGTGGTGGACATTGTCTAAAAGAAGACATGAAAATGCAAATATATGTTTGTACAGGACCTGAGGGTAGGGTTATTTTATAAACAGTTTCTAGTTATGTTATCAATCAGACAGTAGCAGTCCTTGTTCATTTATCAGTAAATAAATTACAAAATGGTATCTTTTTCTCATTCATTTTCACCCAACTTTGACTTCTGAGTTCCAAAATTGTTATAACATGTTGAATGATGGGTATTTTGTGCTTTTTCCTTTTACTAGATACAAACTGCACTGATGAGAAACCTACTACTAAACCACCCCAGGTTGCTGTAGAAACCTTTATAACAAATACAACATCAGCCCCAAGTACAGTTAGGGTGGAAACGACAAAGTTGTCTTCTTCAAAACAGCCATCACCTCCTCAAACTAACAGCACTGAAACTGACATACTATCCCCTCAAACAAGTTTTCGTGGTCATCCAACTTTAGGAGATCAACCTCTTGCTGAAGCAAGCACAAAAGGAAAAGATAGTTCCCACAGTAAGAATGGTAAACATCATTGCATGCATATACCTTTTAACCGTAGATAATAACTTCTAGACCACTTCCAAGTTCTTGTGGTTCAGTGTAGCAATCAATTAACTCTCTTTTGGTTTGTTATCCTTTAGAACAGTAGGGTTTTGTTTCTATTACATTTACGTTTATCTTTTACACAGGAATAGCTATACTTGGTGCTTTGCTGGGAATTTTTCTGCTTATTTCAATTGGAGTCAACTGTTACTGTTTCTGGTGTGTATGAAGTAATCTGCTCACATATTTATTAATCAATTGTTAATAATTGATTTAAACTTTCTGACGGTGATTGAAAAAATTGATTTATAACAAAGCTAGTAAATTTGTCTAATCAAATTCAATTGCTCAAGAAGCTAGAGTTGCTCTCAGCTATGCCTCGGGCAACTCTTACGCATCTTTTGTGCTCTCCAAACTTCCTGCATGCTTCATATCTCAATGAATGCACGCTGATGTATGAACCAGTTGTTAATTTTACAAGGTACATCTTTATAAATCTCATTTTGTGTTATTTCTGAAAATGCTAAATCTTGTGTTGTGTCAACTATACTAGTGGTGTTTACTCATAGGAGATTTACATTCCTAAGTCTTGATGTCATCATCTCTCCCAGTGTTTTGCAATTTGTCTAGAAATCTATGTGGTTGTATGAGACAGTTAAACAAGTAATCATAGCCATTACAATTTCCTCAAGTGTGATTGGGGTGATTTCCTCAAATGATTAGTTGGTAACAGCTGACTCTTGATTAACAAATTGGACTCCTGCTTCACAGTTGTCTGATTTTGTTTATCACTGGTATGATTACAAACTGAATTGATCAAGGGACAAATTTGGTCTAGACAAATTTTTGTTTTGTTGGTTGCATCTGCATTAAAAATTTCAAAGCTATCAAATTTTGTCAGGGCCTGATCTGTTCATGAGACCAGCCAGCATAGTTGCTAAAAGATTCCACCTCCAATTTCCAGGATTTATCCTAAGTCATTTTAAAATTTTAGAATCCTTGAGTTTTGCAGCAAAAGACAATTTTTGCCTCTCTAATGAGCTGATGTCAGTTCAATTACATGCTTGTTGAAGCTTATACAACAAATTACTGTCAAGTTTTTTTACAGTTTTGTTTATTTAGTTTATTTTGCCAAATTTTTACCCGCAACAAATTTTGATGGCAGTGCATGTGAAGATTTGTCCACTTTGGTCAAAATTTGTCAACCACAAACCATCTGCTCTTGAAAAATGTTGGTGGTGATAGAAAATTTGTCTCAATAAACAACTTTTTTGCTAGTGCAGGAAGGCCCTAAATTGAGATCAACCAAGAAAAAGAAAAACTTATTTGTACCACTGGGGCTTTTAAAGTGTTATCAATTTTGGTGGCAAACCTATGAGCTCCAAGTTTTATCTTTTCTGTGGAAAGGGTACCAGAATATTCCAATGCATGTCTTTCTGTTTTTTTCAGGAAGCTGAGATTACAATCATCAAAACAGGGTGAAAAAAGCGGTCCTCCCTCAACACCAACACCTGTGTAATGATTTCATTCACAAAAATGATGTAGTTTAGATATAATATCATCTTTATAGATATCAGTTAAAATTTATGATAAAAAAATGGCAGTAATTACTGCTAATAATGATAAAAAAATGTTTCAGGTTTGTAACACATTTAAATCTCGGTAAATTTGTTAGTATCGAAGTTTATACAGTGTCCCATTGATTCAGTAATAGTCAAGCTCTGAGTGTCTTGGAAAGCCTATACATTTAATAAAAACCTACAGGGAGAAACAATATGTATCTGGCTGCAATACTGGGATTGTTCAAAGCTCTCCTTGTTTCATATTCAATGCCTGAAACAAACTGTAAAAATCTGCAAGTCAGTGTCGAAGGGACTTACACATTACACACTTAACTATTTTGTATTGGAGTGTTAAAAAGACACTGGCTCAATGTGGACAGTTTAAGCTGTGCTGCTTATGGAAGATAGGAATGGTCTTTTTATATTGTGTTCACTTTATTTATGTAAATTAAGATATCAAGAAAAAGAAAATCACTATTTGCCAAGGATAGAACCAGTGGCTTCAGAAGTTGATTGGGTTGAAATCGTTGTGTCATGTATCCAATTTTTAAATATCAATTGATTGACTCTTAGCTATGAAGAACAGTTAGTGTTCAAGAAATTAATCCCTTGTTCAGCATTTGTAAGAGAACCCTTTATATGTATTTCAGTGGTGGCACAATTGACATTGTTGGCATTTGTATGTAAATACCTACACCTTACAGGCCTTTTTGTTTTGACTAATGTAAGAGCATGTTTTGAAGAGTGATTCATGTAATCTTTTTTGTTCTATTTTTGGGAGGCTGAGTTAGTATTAAGCAAGTAAATTTCAACTGTATAGTATTGTGTAGAAATGATTCAAACATTTGCAATGTTGTACCTTTTTGAAAAAATTAACATTTACTGTTAGAACTGTTGTTGGGTCCTGTTGTAACTGTCATGAATAAGAGAGGTGTCAATACAGTCAAACCTGTATTAGGCAGTCCTCCTGTATTAATCACTACAATTTTCACCTCTATTAAGCGGTCACCCTGTGTTAAGGAATCCATCTTGCCTGCTCAGGTAGCCAATCAAAACACAGGATTCACTTCCAATTGCCCCTTGGCACTACCAGCATTATAGCAATTTTTTATCACCTTTGTTAGCATTATGGCTGCTGCCAATAGGGAACCTGTTAACTTTATCCTAATAAATATCTAATAATATGACATACATATACAGTAAAGTGATCTCGATTATTTTACTAGTTGTGTGTAACAGTGATATATGTAGCCATTTTTAACCCTCCTAATGCTACAAACATGGATCATATGGAGAGCAAAATAATCTACTCTTAAACGATAAGGGTTTAGATACATAAAGGATTAAGAAATTCAGCAATATCATATGGTCTCAGTACTCTAAATAGTCCAATCACAAAGAAAAATATGTAAATATTAAAATATATACTAAAGTATTATGAATATTATGAAGTAAGTCTCCCTATAATCAACTTTTAATAATAATGAAAACGTTTGTCCTTATTCAAAATAGATGAGCTTTCTATCTCAAAGGTAGAGTTATTGATGTCCATATGAATATGTTTTATATGGCTTTTAAATCTGTTGATGTCATAATTTTTAACTCGGTTTGGCAGAGCACTCCATAACAATGTTCCTCTATGCTTGAAGGAGAGTCTTGCTTTTTTTTTTTTTTTTTTTTAAG